AGTATTTTAAAATTCTGTATATAAGTGGACATGCTCAGTTCACGCCCATGTTGTTAAAGGGACAACTGTAGTACAAAGTATAAGTCAGTCCTATTTTTTTTTTTTTGGACAGTTCCAGCATTTTTTCTTGAAAAGATCATCTTTATTAGCCCCGTTGTAGAAAATCAATCGACTTTTTGTGTGGGATTACTATTGGACTGGAACTCTATGTCTGTCTTAACTACTGTAGCATTATTCTAAGTCTAGAAATCAGGTAAAGTGAGTCCTTGGATCTGAAGCCTTCTCAGTGTTCCCACCCCTCCTGCAGGCATAGCCAACCTCCGCTTCGATTGGGGTAGAATCCTGAGCTTAGTGTGTTTTCCTTCCTTCCCTCTGGAAGCATGTTTTGTTTCTACCCCTCACGCTCTCACACTTGAAGTGACTTGGAGTGACTCCAGGAATAAGTTTTGTGTCTCTTCTCAGAGACTTAAGGTTTTTGCCTTGTATAAGAGGATTCCAGGAAGTGGTTGGCATTTCTTGCTTTTTTCTAGTGGTAGCCTCCTCCTGTTTGCACATGCAAATGAGTGTGACTCTGTGGTGTTCTGCCCTGACCCCAGTGTTGCTTGTGAGTACCTGATGAAGACCTTTGTGAGTTTGCTCTTTCCTTGTGGCTAGGATTCTTATTTACTCTATGCTAGTCTATATTTGGCCTTTGAAAATTTGTGAAAATGTTAGTTGTTTTTTTATTTGCTTCTATTGTAATCACTTCTTCTTTCTGTGTTCTGCCCAAAGTGAGACCGTTCCTATGTCCTGTCTCCTGAGAAGGCCTTGTCAGCCTTTGGAATTAGTTCCCTTGGTTTCCATGACCTCTGCTCTCTGATGAGTTTAAGAAAAGTTTATTTTTTTACAGAGATGGGGGGAGAGGAGGAATGAGGGGAGTGAGAAAGAGAGACAGACAGAGCGATATAGAGAGAGACAGCAATTTGTTGTTCCACTTATTTATGCGTCTATTAGTTGATCTTGTATGTGCCCTGACCGGGAATCAAACCCACAATCTTGGCCTATCAGGGTGACACTCCAACCAATTGAACTACCCAGCCGGAGCAAGAAAAGTTATGATTTATAAATTATTCCAGTTTTTTCTTGTGGTTAGGGTAGTAGCAACATGCTCTTGAAGCTTTCTAAATTTTAAATAGAAGCAAAACTCCAAAGTGTTTAAACTAATCAATCACATGATTGCATTTTAGAAGGATTAATGAGATAGTATGTAGAATGGATTTGAGGTATGTACTCTATTTGGAATACTTTTACTTAATTTTTTCTAAAACTTTAAATTTTATTTTTCAGTTACAGTTTATATTCCATATTATTTTGTATTAGTTTTAGGTGCACAGTATAGTGGTTAGGTAATCATATACTTTACAAAGTGTTACCCCAATATTTACAGTACCTACCTGGCACCATTCATAGTTATTACAATATTATTGACTATATTCCCTATGCAGTACTTTACATCCCTTGACTATTTTGTAACTACCGATTTACTTCTTATTCCCTTCACCTCTTTCACACAGCCTCACTGCCTCCCTCCCCTCTTGCCACTACCAGTCCACTCTGTGTCTATGAGTCTATTTCATTTTTACTTATTTTTTTTTCCTTTGAAGACTCAGAAGCCCAGGTGTTCTCCTCAGGGAGCCATTTCTGCTACTGCCAAAATGTCCTTCACCTGTGTCCTGTATCATGAAAAATCTGCTCTCTGGCCCACCACCTTTTAGATAGCCCCCCCAAAGAGGACTTTCTCTGAGTCATCTTTGTATACTCCAGCTAGCAGAATATCTAACCCGTTCATTCAAGCATACACATGCCTACCTGTGTGCTTACATACAAACATATGGGTACATATACACACCCAAGAAAAATATTTGTTTTAGAACTTACTATATGCCAGGTAGTTTTAGTAAATGTTTGTTGAACTAACACCTGTACTCTTGAAAATGGTACTACATTTTTTCAAGTGAGACGTATTGAAGGCCTCACCTAAGATGGTGTTTCTCAACTGAAACAATTTTGTCCCTCAGAGGACATTCAGAAATGTTGGGAACATTTTAGGTTGTCACAGTTGGGGAGTGGGATGATATGGTAACTAGTGAGTAGAGGCCAGGGATGTTGCTGAATATCCTGCAGTATGCAGGCAGCCCCTACAACAATTATCCAGCTTCAAATGTCAGTACAGAGGTTGAGAAGGTCTGACCTGAAGTGCTAACTAATGTGTAAAATAATCTGAATGTACTTAGTCACTGATTCATTCAATACAAGAAAACAAGGAAAAGGAGGAATAAAGACTGCAAATTTCAGTCTATGTGAACAGGATTGTAATACCAGCAATAGTAATTGAAACAAGTCAGAAGAGCAGGCTTGGGGAAGATCATGGTAAACTTAGTTATGGAATGGAACACCTAGGAAATGTGTGACTTAAACTCAATAAGGTGGTTCATGACTAGAGATTTATTAGAAGTCATGAGACTGAATGAGATTGATAGGAGAGAAAAGATGGGAAGGTAAGTGGGGGTTAACTTTGAAGAAGCAGGAGACAAAAAGAGGAAGGGTAGGTGGGGAGCAACCGGGAAAGCATTGTGCTACATAAGGATAGTGTTTCAAGTGTGAGAGTGTTTAAACTACTGCAGAACAATGAAGAAGGAGAACTAGAAGAGTTAACTAAATTTGGCAGTTAAGACGTCTTTGGTGATTTTTTTCCAGAGAGAAATTTCAGAAGATTGTTAATAGTGGGGAAAGGTGGTTTGGGTTACGGCAAGAACCAAATTTATTTTAAGGGTTGAAAATAAAGCTTGTGATGTATCAGGTTTAGTTGACTGAAGAAAAGTGGTGGTGAAGGTAAGATGGAAAGAATAGTATCATTAGGGAAAACAGGGGAGAAGAGGAGGTTTTGAGGGGTGTTCTAGTTTCCCAGGGGTGCCATAACAAATTACCACAGACTGGGTGGCTTAAAACAACAGAAATTTATTCTGTTACAGTTCTGGAAGCTAGAAGTACTAAATCAAAGATTTGCCAGGCCAAGTTCCCTCTGAAGGCTGTAGTGAAGAATCTCTCCTACCTCTTTTCTAGCTTCTAGTGCTTGTTGTCAATTGTTGGTATCCCTGGGCTTATAGATGCATCATTCCTATCTCCGACTCTGTCCTCTCATGGCTGTCATCCCTCTGTGTGTCCCTGTGTCTAAACTTCCCTCTCCTTTCTTTTAAAAGACACCGGTCAGTGGATTTAGGGTCCACTGTAATCCAGTATGGCGTCATGAGGTTCTAAGTAGAGAGAAATTTCAGGGAGATTAACTATTCAATTCATTAGGGCAAGGGATAGTTAGATAAGGGGATGTTGTATAATGAGATGCCACTGCATACCCATTAGGATGGCTAAAATAAAAAGGACGCAGTAATTAGTGATGGTGAGAACATGGAGAAGTTGGAACCCTCATACACTGTTGGTGGGATTGTCAAGTGCTATACCTACTTTGGAAAACATGGTGGCATTTTCTGCAAAGGTAAAACATAGAGTTACCATATGATGCAGTGATTTCACTTCTTAGGTGTATACCCACAAGAATTGAAAAAAAGTCATACACACACACACAGTCTATCCATGCATGTTTATAGCATTATGAGTCTTAATAGCCAAAAAGTGCAAATAATCCAAATGCCCACCAATTGATGATTGGATAAACTATGGTATAGTTATATGATGGAATATCGTGGAGCCATACAAAGGATGAAGTACTGACCCATACTAGAACATGGAGAAACTTTGATAGCTTTATTCTAAGTGAAAGCAAGCCAGTCATAAAAGCCACATATTGTATGATACCGTTTATTGAGATGAGTGGTTGCCAGGGGCTAAGGGGAGGGCGGGGTAGGGAATGACTGCTAATGCATGTTGGGTTTCTTCTTGGGGTGATGAAAATGTTCAGAAATTAGTGTGATAGTTGTGTAACTATGAGTTTACTAAAAACCAGTTAATTATACACTTTAAAAGGATAAATTTTATGGTATGTGAATTGTGTCTTAGAGCTGTTATTAATAAAAAATGGGTAAGGGGATGTTTGATATATTTCTAGGCTGAAGAGAGACAAACTATTGGATGGTCACAACTTTATCTGGGTCTAGTCACATGGTGACTTCAACATGAGCTACAGCAGTATGTTGGAGCTCATCATTTTAATAAACTGTATAAGATGAATGCTTCTAAAATGTATTTAGCCAACTATATCTTATAAATAAGAATGGTATATAATTTAAGCTATGAATTTTAAAATGTGGGCCAAAAGATGATTATCTAAATTGTACCAGGTTGTTGTTCCAAATGTAAGAATATTAAAATGAACTTACCTAAGTTTAAATTTTCAGTATAGATTATTATGGAAAAAGTCTTCCCTTAACTTTAAATATGATTACTATATTGGCCTACCTACTAAAGAAAAAGAACATTTTAATTCTACCAGTTATATTGACTTCAGATATGATTATGACAACACATTCATAAAATCATGTTTTAAGAATAATCTATTGATTCAGAGGGCCTACTTCAATGATTCATCATTGTATTTTGAGCCAGATTAGTAGCTAACATTTTTTGAGTACTTTATCAGGTACTGTTTTATGTTCTCATGAGCCATCTTTTAAAATCCTCACAGCAAGCCCTTTGAGATACAGAGAAATGAAGTTACTTCCCCAATGTTACATAGCTAAGAACCGGAAGCTCTGGGAACCCTAACAGGCCATCTTAAGGAAGACAGCCCATGTTCTTAGCCACAAGGTTATGCTGACTCCCTCAAAGTAGATTGGGATATTTAATGAAAAGTTCTTGAGATTTGCATGAGTAGCCCAGATCACCTTGAAGTATGAGCTTGAGCACTATGTCAGAGTTAGATGTGTAGGGGAAGAAAACACTTGTCTGTGGGGACAGTGTGCTATTCAAAGGATATGAACATAATTCTCGTTATTTCTCCCTGCCAGTATGAGGTGAAAGCTCCCGTTCCTTCCGCCTGTTTCAGGAATATTTGTAAGCAGATGGCAAAAATGCATGAAGCTATAATTGATCTCCTTCCAGAAGAGCAAACACAAGTGAGTAGTAATTCCTAAAACTACTTTTTTGTATATAACATATGATAGACATGTAGAATTAGTATTTCACATATTTTTGGCACAATTAAGCTTAGTTCATATTCTATTATGATTATTTTTTCCAGTTGTTATATTGACAGGGAATATGGATAAAAATTTCTGATTTCAAATTGCCCCTTACTTTGACAGGTCAGAGCAATAATAGCTTTGCTATATGGTCAGCAATTCTAAAAAGCACATTTTCCATTTGTCCATTTAGTATCAGAGATTCCAGATTCTACTTACATCATTCATTACATTATTACCGTATTTTGCCATTTAAAATATACTCCTATGTATAATGTACACCCATGTTTTGGGACCAGACTTTCAGGAAAAAAATCTTTTGTTTTAATGTTTTAATTCAATTTTTTATTTATTTATATTTAGATACATTTTTGTATTATAAAGGAATTTTAGCATTTATTTTTAACATATTATGGTAAAAGAAATTTTATGTAACAAATAATTACAAAGCACAAGAACAGATACAAGGTATTTCAGGTACTACCCATGTATAGTGTGATCTTTAATTTTCCCTCAAAAATTTGAGCAAAAAAGTGTACATTAAACATGGCAAAATACAGTAGTTTGAAAATCAGAGTTGGCATTTATCAATGAACATAAATTATGTTATGGTGACTATTCCAAATTGGATAGGGGAGAAGTTAGTGATAAAGTTAACAATGAGAAGGTGCATAAACTAACTCAATCAATATGCCTTACCACTAATATTTACTAGATCAGGATAAGTGTTCTATAATAGGCACAAACCAGGAAAAATCAAATGGGTAGTCTTTAGCACCTCTCACCTACGAAATATCCATCTGCTGTCCCTACAGTCTTCCTCTACAGAAGTATCATAGAGTTCTCTTCACTTTTTTTTATAGGAGAAAGTTTATTTAGAAAGTCACAGAGGTAGAAGAAGTGAGCCATAGAAGGAGTGGGTTCGGAAACAGTTACAGAGGCAAAACAAGGGCCCTTGGAGCTTAGGAGAAAAAGGCAAGGAAGACACACCTGGGGAAGGGGGTAGGGAAAGCTGTGGTCCTGAGAGAAAGAGCACTCAGGTGAGCAAGAGAGCACCTCCCTCTTTACCCTTCAGTGACATTCCTATACCCCACTCTGGGGTTCCCTCTCCTAGGGCTTCGAAGGTTCTAGAATTGTTTTTTCTTCCTAGTTTTCTTTACCTACCTCAGCTCGTTCCTCTATACCAGGTGAGGTCATTCAAGCTAGCTATAGAATGATACAATGTTATAACACAATCCTAGTTCTATGACTTAAAAACCTAACTTTCACTGGGATTTTTGCTATTCACACAAGTTTGTTATTTCAGTTTGTCTCTAATTGATTCAATGTATGGAAGTGGTAGTTGCAAGCAAAGGGCAGCTTTCTTAGTGACTCGCCTACTCTTGCTCCTGCTAGTCTCCTTTCCCATGCCACATCAGACTTCCATCTTATATAGCTATTACCATTCATGCTTCCCTAGGTTTTCATTAATCATTCTGACCTCATGATTTGGAGCTCACTGAGGACTGAGGAGGAGCCATAAGATATGGAACACCCACTAGGGTCTGTTTTTTCTTTCTCATTTCTTCTAGCCAAGTCACCCTTTTCACTCCACAAGTAAGATCCCCTATCTCTGACTTTCTGACCTTTTTGGATTTGCTATCTGCATTCTAATTCCAGGGCAAGGCTTAGCCAGGTTAGGGCACTGGGCTTACAGGTTATTTCACTTATTTTTATCTACATTATAATTTAAAGGAAACTATTGTCAAAACTGGGCAAAAATGATAGATTTTATGTCAGTATTCTCACTTGAATACCAGTAATTCTCAGAACTTTTCCATAGATGGCTTTATACATATTTTTCCCATATAAAATATTTGTTATTGCACAGAACAGTTTCCATAGATTAACTGCATATAATTTCAGGTCAGATATTTCCCAAAGAAGTATTGGGCCATTGCATTAAAAAGTGCGCCTGCAGGAGCAATAAAATACTTAGAAGTAACTTTACCAGATTGGAAGGGTAAAGGTGTTGTTGCCTCTACCATTGAGACTTTTTTGCTTTCTCTGTCAATTTCCTAATTAATGTATTACAGAATTCTCCATTTCTTTTTATTCTTTTTACCTGTCATATACCACTTATATAGCTCAGAGGACTTTTTCTAAGGGGCAGAAAGGCAGTGATAAGTCATAACACTAAAACTAATAATACTGAAAAGGGGAAAAAGAGCTTTCATCCAACTAATGATAAATAGTGTACTGAAATAGCAATAAAATACTTTCAAGGGAGCATTTTAAAGGTGCAATATATGCCAAAATGAAGGTTATTTTAAAATTTTTTCTGATTTGTTAATTGATAACCCCAGATACTTATGTTTTCTATTTCAGTAGAGCTTTAAGACATTTAGTTTTCTTTCTTTTACAGATGTTATTTTTAAGAATTAATGCAAGTTACAAACTCCACTTAAAAAAGCAATTATCTCATTTAAATGTGATAAATGATGGAGGACCACAAAATGGGTATGTTTTCAAAATATTTTTACCACGTACTGCCATATCAAATTGTTTGATTTGTTGTATTCATTATGCTGCCCTTTTCCACTAGCCATGCTGGAGTGCCAAATATTGTAAAATCAGCGACCTTTTGCTTTTTTTCCCCTCTGTGGATATGATATATATCTATGTCTGTCTGTCTATGTGAAAGTGTTTTATAAAGGTCAGTTACTTAACTGACCTTATATGTCTGTTTTGAGGCAGTGTGGGTTACTAGTACCTTCTTAGGTTACCCAGTATAGTCTGTTGCTATCCAGACAGAACTCAGAAGTCCCACTTTGTAGCTGTAGCACCATGAGAAAGCCAGTTCACCTCTGTGCCTTACTTATGAAATGATAAAATCTGCCTAATTCCTTCAGAGGGTTACAGAAAAGTGTGAATATGTACATATTTTATCATAAGCCATTAAACAAATTGTATGTGTTAGTGAAATAAATCATGGAATATATGAAAAAATATAGGATTTAGAAGAGGAATGAATACTTGGGTTAAGTTCTGTCACTTACTAGATGTGTAACTTTGGGCAGATCACATACCCTCTCTGAAAGACATGGGGAAGGATTGTACAAAATACAGTGATTTCCTTAGTGTATTACCTGTTCCATGGATTTTTAGGAATAAAATATTTTATTCCCTATTAAAGAACTTTTCGGCTTAAATGTCAGATTTGTAGGAAAAAAATGAAAAACGTTTTGGAGTCAGAAATTGGCGTTGCCCTTAAAAAGAAGTACACTAAACTGATTTTGCAAAAAAAAACTATTTAGAAGTGTCAGACTGCTGAATCTTTCAGCCAGGCTGAAATTAGTTTTACACAAAAATCTGATTCTCTCCCTTGAATATTAACTGGTTCATTTTTTTGCTTTGTTTTTAATTTATTTTTTTTAGAAAAGGGAAAGGAGGGCAAAAGAGAGGGAGAGAAACATCAGTGTGTGGTTGCATCTTGCGCACCCCCTACTGGGACCTGACCTGCAACTTATGCATGTGTCCCAGACTGGGAATTGAACTGGTGACCCTTTGATTCGCAGGCCAGTGCTCAGTCCAATGAGCCACACCAGCTAGGGCTTTCTTTTTGTTTTTTAAAAGAATTATTTGTTATTTTCAAAAATTTCAAAGCCACAGAGTTCAAAGCTAGTCTACTGAACCTCAAGTACCTTTCAGAGACTATTCAGACGGAGCTAATATTTTTAAGCCCCACTCCACCCTTCTACTTTTATTCACATACTAAATCTGGGTTGGTTGGTTTTCCTCAGAACGGTAGTTCTGAAGCATACAGTTTAACTCATTACCAGTTACCATATTTGGTAATGTAGCTATTTGGAGGTTGGTACAGGCTTAGAGATCTTCACTGTCATGTACTTTTAAAGACACTAATTCTGTGTAAGTCGATTGGTGTCTTTGAGTGAGCCTTTGAAAGAATTCCTTGAAAATTAACCTCTAGACACTAGCCAAAGATATAATGCACTAACTGCTTAAAAGGAATTTTTGTTCTTATAATGACTGACTCTAAAAATGTACTTTTTCTTTTTTTTCAAAGTGAAATTCACATGAAATGATGTTTTACAGTTAATTCAATGGTACTTACACATTCACAATCACCACTTCTGTGCAATCAACTGTTTAGTTCCCAACATTTTTTACTTCATGAGGAATTAAGCATTGCTCCTTATTCCTCCTCCCCAGCACTGTACTTTCTTTTGAATGTGATTTTTCTCTACTTTAAGATATTGTAAAGAGACATAAAGAGAATATTTATATTCCTGCTACTTAGAATTGATCATTTTAAAATTAGTCACTTTCACTTGAAAAAACTGTTTGTTTTAAAAGGGCATTCATTCCAAATGAAATTGAAGTATCCTTTGACCCCATCACTAGTCTTACTCTCTTTTCCCCAACCCTTAGGCAACATTTCTAGTAAATTTGTCCTGTCCTTCTCATTTATTATCTCTATCTTAAAAAAAAAAAAAGCACTTTTATAAATTCAGTTTACTTATATAGTATATTATACATATTCTGCTTGCTTTTTCCACTTAGTGTTGTTACTGACTTATCTATGTTGATATAAATTACCCATATTTTGACTATTGTATTGTCCCACATAAATCACCTGTATTTAATGTATCCATTTTCCCCTAGTGATAGATTTCTAGGTTAATACTTTTTCTATTACAACCATGCCACAGTGAAGATCTTTATATACACCTACAGGTTTGACCATTTCTTTAGGATATATACTTACAAGTGGATTAGAGCACATGTATGATTCCACTCTACCAGGTATTACCAGAATGTTTTGCAAAATGACTACCAAGTTTACACTCCCACTGTTTCTTCATATCCTGCCAATGTTTGCTGTAAAGGTTTTTTTGTTGCCAGTCTTATGGAAGACAGTGGTATTTTGATTTGCAATTCCTGTTTACCTTTTCATACACTGATTAGGCATTCAGAGATTCTCATCTGTGACTTTTCCTGTTCATATTCTTTGCCCATTTTTCTTTTGGGTATTATCTTTTTCTAGTTGATTTTAGATTTTTCTGTATGCCTTCTAATTCTTTGTTGGTTATGTAAGTTGCAAATGTCTGGTTTCATGTTCTCTTTTTATCAGCTTTTCAGTTTTGATGTAAAACATTTTCTATGCACTTTCTCATATAGACTAAATAGTGTTTATTAAACATAACTTGATATTTTTAAATGGAGATTTCTGTTAATTTTAGTTTTTAATGTAGGGATGTTGCCTTAGAAAAGCTTTATTCTGTTTTGAACCATTGCTGTCTGTTTCATTGTCCTTACCATATTATCACAAGAAGTATAATAATTTAGAATCTTTTTATAGATTTTAAAGCACCCTAAATTAGATGAATTTCAAACAAAAAATATGGTCCTTAGTAAACTGTGCCATGTGATAGAAGGTGAAACATTGAATACGTAAGTCCAAAAATACTTATAAATTAGACTGCAGTACAAATATGAAGGGTACTTAAATACCTTTGCCCCAACGTAATCCAGCAATCCAGAACTTATGTTTTTATTAAAATATTAAGGCTGGACTTCTTTTACAAAGTACTAAATTAAGGTTTCTTGTTTGTTTTTCCATGGGCTACATCTTTCAAAGTATGCATTTAATCAGATCTGTCCCTATTTTTTATTTATGCAGATATTTCTGTTTAAGTGTTCTTGCCAGGAGTTTCTTCAGGTTATAGGCATTAATGTGACAGCTCAGTGCAATTCTCTTTTCATCAAATGTTGTTGTATTGATTATCAGTACTATGATTTTATTAGTCATAGTACTCTATCGATAACAGATCAAAAAAGTTTTAACTTGTTATTTTCTCTATTTCATTGTTTTAAGATAAATCTATTTTATTGGACAGAATTAATTCTGAGATTGAGTCCAACTTGCATTGGTTTATTGTTGGAACAGAACACCAAGTGGTCTCACTATATGACAGCAAGAATTCCACTAAGGTGTATTGACATTTGATCTCTAGGAAATCTGAATTTTGAGTAGCAGTCTAGCAGCTATGATAGGACTGTTAACTCTGAGCATTGCTACTTTACTTGAATAGAAAGTATGAGATTAAAAATAATTTTCTCTCCAATGTTTAGGTTGGTCACAGCAGATGTAGCTTTTTACACTGGAAATCTTCAAGCCTTAAAAGGCCTTAAAGATTTGGACCTAAATATGGCCGAGATCTGGGAACAGAAGAGGTGATGACATACTGGAAAACTGTAGCCTATCTGACCATGGGATATGTATGTTTATAAAGAAAGTATGGATGCCTGTGATTGAAGAACTCAACCTGGAACCCAAAGTGAACTGGGGTAGGGAAAGGGGAGAAGGAAAGCATCAGTGTTGGGAAACTGGTATTCAGTAGAATCTACAAGGAATGCCAGTTTTGTGCTTCCTTCAGTGAGGAGTAGCTGATCAGGTGTCTATAACATTTCTTATTCTCTCTGGAAACAGACTCAGGTTTCTTTGGACCAAATCCAAAAGAACACATAGCTGTAACACAGCTGTAGTTGACTAGAATGCTCTGTATACTTTATATTAAAAAATGCTTTGCATTTCTTCCAGTGCAATGAAATTCATATGGTGTCCCACCTTATTTAATGATGGTACAATTTAAAATATTAAAATCTTAGTCAACCTCTGTAGAAAGTTTTCTCTATGAAAGTAAAACTGAAAAATTATTTTTTTACAGATCTTTCTATAAAAAATAAACAACTTTTGATTGCTTGGATTTAGGAATTTAATTTTCGTGTTAGTGACCAATGTCAAGTTTCAGGCTTCATGTGTCATGTATTTGATCCTTCCACCACCACTCTATGTCAATTGGGGGAAGCCTTCCAGAGTAGTCTAAGTCCTTGAAAGGATGATCACAAGTAATACAAAATAAGATATTGGTGTTTATTTATGCAACTAATTTAAATAATTTTCAGAAGTGGTATATGAAAGCCTGCAGTTTAATAGTTGTATTTTTATAAAAATATCTACGAAAGGGTTGGGTTTGTTTGTTTTTTTTCCTTTTTATGTCTAGCAGAGGTAAGAATATGTTTTTATATATTCTGCCTACTTTGTGTTTTCATTTTAACATTTCGATAACATGGAATATGGTTCCCTTGGGTTCTTGTTTGTAAGTTAATTTTGATGTGTATAAGAACAAAGCCCAGGGAGAAACAGAAAATATAGGCTCCTGTGTTGGGGCCAGAAAATTAGTGATGAGTAAGTTATTTACAGACTTTTTATAATACCTACCTTCAAAATTAGAATCAGCAGCACTCTACAAATGAAAGTGCCTGTGCCTCACCTCACACCAGGAATCTTGCCTAACCCTGTTGGAGTGCCTAACTTTGTGGTGATTATGTACAATGAAATAGTCTTATTTTGTGCTTTTTGGTTTCTTAAAAGAAAAGCCTGTTTTCTTTCCTTTATCATTACAGAGGTATATGTCACCGGCTTTCAAATGTCTGTCTGAAATAAAGCTGTAAACAATTACCAGACTTTAAAAGACAACTTTTTTTACAGGATACACTAAACTTTAAATTAAACAAGCAGCCTACTCAAAAAACAAGTATGGAAGAATTGGAAAACGTAGTTGATTCTTAGAGAAAAGCCACAAATTATACCACCAGTAGACCTGGTCTGAAAGGTTATTCATGAACATTTTTTAGTCACAACAAGCAAGCTTCAAGAAATGAAGCTTCAAGGAAAGGAAACTTCTTAAAAATTATACCCACACCCACAATACTAAAGAACAAGGATGTGAAAGAAATGTCTTACCTCTACCCACCCCCTCTCCTTAAGCTGGTAAAAGAAACACCACTTTGTGTTAAATAAATGGAGAGTCTGTGGAAAGCATGGCAGGCATCCCAGCTTTAGAACTAAATGAAAGGTACTAAATACCTTCAAGTTTAATTCCTATGGGAATAATGATGTGGTTAAGATTCTTAGAAGTGTAGACACTTGGTTTTTTTAGGTAACTGGTGAGTATACATATTCCAAGAACAAATCTTCCAACTGATATAGTAACTAACTCTTGAGAAGAGTAAACCATTTTTTCTTTACCATTTCATAAATTTAGCATTGACAAGTATAAACATACACACGTATTGCTTCACAGCTTTATTTTTGAAATCACAAGCAATCAAAGTGACCATCACTGAGGCCTCTGTTAAAATATTTTTCAGCAGAGCTGCCCCAGTTTTAAGATTAAACAATATTGCACTTTAAGGTGAACACTCAGGATCCTCTTCCAACAAGAAAAGTATTGCTTCCATCTGTGCTTTTCTTAGGCTAAAAGCATACTCTTATGCAAAAAGGCAGAAAACTCTTTGAAAATTAACACTGCAGGTTACAGTAAAATAGTAGCATACCTGCCTATCTTAGAATCCTAGAGAACATTTCATTATAAGAAACTAGCCCATAATTAGTATAAAGTGTACACGGTATTTTTTCATTTCAGTGGTCCAAGATACGAAGGTTCCCAGATACAATCTTGTTCTCTAATACCGCTCCAGGTGGGATGTCAATTCGGTCACCATGATTTGCGATGATGATAACAGTTCCCTAAGTGACAGGGAAAACAAAAAGCAAAAATGTACTTGCAACTCAAGCTGAAATGCAACTGACTTTTCCTAAAATGATCAAGTTTATGTAGAACTCCATTTACAACGGAGTAACTATTTGTAAACAACATTAAACATGAAAAACAACATGATAAAGAAAATTGTACCAAGTCCCCTCTAACAGGTCCTGGCAATAGTTCTAGATTCCTTGTTTCCTTATCAGAAGTGGTACAGGGAGTGGGAAGTGAATCCTGTGCTACAACATGACTGGCCCTTTCAAAGAACTACTTGCAAGGCCACCAGAATACCTACTTCCATAAAGAAACTAAAAGGTGCTTAGTTTATATTTACATATCAGTTTGGGAGTTTTATTAAAAACAATTTACTCAAATTTTTCATATCTTAAGTGAGACTGTTTAGATAAGGCAGTATGAGCAATAAAATTCAACTTGATATATGTTTTTGTTTTTTCAAGATCATTTAAGTAGCTTTAATAAGATCGTTTAAGTAGCTGAAATCTAGGTATGGAATTTTATTTTGTGTGTGTGTTTTTAATTTATTGATTTTAGAGTGGGAGAGAAAGAAACAGCAATTTGTGGTTCCACTTATTTATGCATTCATTAGTTGATTCTTGTATGTATGTACCCTGATCAGGATCAAACCCACAACAACCTTGGCATGTCAGGACAATGCTCTAACCAACTGAGCTACCTGGCCAGGGTTTTAGGTATGGGATTTTTAAAAAACAATTTGATTAGGAAAATACTGTTGTGTCTGGTTCGGAGCTTTAATACTTATACCTACAGTTTTTCCTATTTCTTAAAATAGGCTGGAATGATGGTTATAAAAGTACCCAAGTACTACAATAATGTGAATGACTATTGCTTATAATAGTTGATGACAACAGATTAATAGGAATAGGTTATATTCAGTATAAGTGAAGTCATTTTTTCTACTTTCATTTAGTTTCAAATAGTCATCTTTAATGAGCTAATGCTAATTTAACAGTCATTATATTTTAAAGATTGTCATATTTCAATAAAATAGTACCAGTTCAATTATATATTAGTGTGTGCTTTCCATTTGAATGCTATGTTCCACAAAATTCCCATATATAACGCTTATGTAGTTTAATTGTATTGTATATATGTGGAAGACAGTATTAATACTATTATAGTATGCTATTTCATTTTTTTAGCTATAGCTGTATCTTACAAACACCTTGTACAGACTAGGAAGTATTCCTTAAAATAAAGGCAAATTTAGGACTAGAAAATAGAACCTGTTTTGTAAAGTTACATAGGACCTGTAATTTTTATAACACACCTTTAATGAAACATTCTTGCCAAATGTCACATCTCCTGAAACTGTGAGATGATCTAATTCAAGCATATCTGGTATACTTTCGAATCTCCTTAGATAATCTTGAACCTGAAAGAAAAATGTAAACATATAAATTGTTTCAAAAATGGGTTAGGGATTAAATTTACAGAATAGTTAAACTGAACTGTAAAAATATTCTGTTTATGGCCAAATTCATGCCCTCTATGGGAAGAACCTATTTGTTAATAAGCATTCACCATATGCTAGGATCCTGTACCGGAGAGGCCAGGGGATAACACTGTTCCTACAATCAAGCAATTTACAGCTGAGCAGATCAGACATTAGAGGAAAAAAAAAAATGAAAGGATAACCATCGAGCATGCTAAGAGCCAGATAAGTAGTTCAGATAATCTGGAGTTAGTTGGAAAAAGAGAAGTCGTCATGATCTCAAGCAAACTAGACTGGAGCTCGGCTTTAGGGATGGGTAGGATTTAGGAAAAATGAAAAGCAGCTGCACAGATTATCATTATAAATGGTTACTGCCTTTGCGTCTTATTTCCTTATATTTATAGGCACTAGAAATTGTCCTAGATAGCCTTGTTTCCCTTTTTTGCTGAGAAAAATAGAAGCAATCACAAAACTTTCATTGGCTTCTGCTACCACTGCTACCATGCCCACCCGCCTTTGCCACCTCACCCATTACTCTGCTCCTCCTAGTACTCAGGTGGGACTGTTTCTACTCTAACTTAAGACCAGCCCTTCCTATGGCCCATTCAAGGAACACGGTCCAGCAATTCTCCTTTTTCCCTCTTTAATGATTTTCCCTTCCTGATTGCATCACTTCACATCTACAAATATATAGACATGTTGTAAATTCTCCCATCTTTAAAAAACAAAAAAACCCTCCCAAATGTTATATTTCTTTCTGTCTGTGGTTCCATTTTTGTTTTTCTTTAGGGCAAAATTCTTGAATAAGTTGTCTACATTCATGTCTCCAATTTCTCTTCTATTCTGTTTTAAATCCATACCAGGCAGTCTCCAAAACCTCTTTGCTGATCAGTCTAATGGTGAATTCTCTTTCATGTTACTTGATTCAGCAGTAGCACTTGACAAAGATGATCACTCTCTCTTTTCTTCATTTGGCTTTCAGGACATAAGCATTCATGGTTTTCTACCCAGTTCCTAACCTGTTAACTCCTCAGTCACCTTTGCTGCTTCTTCCATCTTAGCGCCATCCTCTAAGTCTTGGGAGTACCCAAGCGCTCAGTTCTTGGAGCACCCACCTCCATTCCTCACTCACTGTGTAGATGATCCTTATCTTATGGTTTTAAATACTAGCTATAAACTAACAACTCTCAAATGTACCTGTCTCTTCTAGATCCCTCTAGAGTTACATTCATCTTCTCCATTTGAAGGTCTAATAAGCATGGTGTGCCCAAAATTTAACTTCCCATGCTACTCCCCCTCAGCCTACTCTACCTAAGCCATACCCCATCTCAGTAAATGGCAATTCCATGCTTCTAGTTGCATAGGCCAAAAACTTTGAAGTCAACTTTACTCTTTTTCACCCTTTTATCTATGCCAACAATGAATCTTATAGGTACAACTTTGAAAATACCTCAGAATTTTTCATTTCTGAAAAATGTCAACATTTTTCACTATTTCCACTGCTACCACTGTGGTCCAAAATGTCATTCCCTTTTGCCAGGATTCCTGCAACAACCTATTCCCCAGTCTCCCTGATTCACCCCTCAGCCCACAACTCACCAATGGCTTCTCATCCACACAAGGGGGGAAAAAAAAAAAAGCAGCATTCCCAATACTCAGTTATAAGGTTCTACACAATCCACCTACTCCCAGTCCCTTACTTGCTCACTTTGCTCCAGCCTTATTGTGCTCTCAAATGTCCCCAAAACACGTTCTTCCTCAGAGCAACTAACCATTTCCCACTCAGCCCCTGTTCTCAAATTGAGGCAGCTAAAGTTCTTATCTCCTGAGGGGTATGGAGACTGGGAGGGAGGGAATGAGGCTAGGTGAAATATGGTTAGCAATGCCATCTCAGGATGTGAGAAGACAGTGGGTCCTTGCATCTCCAGGATTTTCCCAGTCCAACCAGGCTGACAAAAGAGGCATCAAATAATGGGGAGACTACTAAGAGGCCAGATGGCTATCCTGGAAATTCCAGCCCAGCCATAGGACCCACTACATACATACATACATACATACGTACGTACACACATACATAGGTGGCACTAAACCCCAACCAGAACTAGAATAGCAGGACTCTACAGACTAGCCACAAAGGCTCACCATCATTGCATTAACCTCTCAACATTTTACGTGATTGTGTTTTTGGGATTCCACTTATTGTGTTAGGAATGGGTTGACTGTACTTGCTATTCCTGTTTGGAAAGTTTTCATCCCAGACACCTGCATGACACACAGTTTCTCAGTGAGGCTGTCTCTCGCCACTGATGTACAATGATACCACAGCCAGCCCCACCCACACATTCCTATTCGTGCTGTATTTTTTTTTCATAGCATTTTCTACCACTTGATATACTATACATTCAATTTATTTGCTTATCATCATCCTTACCCCACTAGAATATCCATGAAGGTAGGATTTTATTCTGTTTTATTTACTGCTAAATACCTAGGACATAGAACACTGCCCAGTAAATGGTAGGGGCTATGTCTGTTAACAAAGAATTAACATTCTCTTCCTGATGAAAGCAGCAACAGTCTTAAAAGAGACATTAGATTCTGATTCACATGCATATTATATCTTTGTAATTACATACCTTTGTGAAAGAACTGCCTAATTTAACCAAGGGCACTGTAGGAAATTCCCGCTTTTCACTCATTGTCAAAGATCCTGCATTAAGGCTATAGAGGTTTGACATCACAAGCAAGAGATCTGATGTGGTTTTGACAGGCAGAAAACGGCTTCTAGGAACATTGATACCTAGAGAGTTCTCAAAACTTTTAATGGCAGCCCCTACTGCAGTCTCTAACTGGATGACATTCAGGCCTCCATCCAGAGTCTGTAAGAAAAGGAAGGAGGGAAAGAAACAGGTTTGAACAGTCTAGTTCCATGTTCGTTAATGTCTGGGGAGTGGTTTCAGAGATCCATCGAAGGAAACAGAAGTTTGAGAACTAACATTGATCAAGCACCTAGCATAAACCTGGTAAACGTGATCTTTTTTCAGTGTCATAGTTCCTCCACTCAGCAATATTTCCATTTTATGATAAAGAACCACAGGTTCAGAAAGGTGCTTATGGCCAAAAGCCCTATAAGTATCAGAGCAGCAAGTAAGCTGAGGCAGGTCCTCTACTTTTGGGCCTGGTGCTCTTGCCACTACCACAGCCCAGGACCACGTAAGGGCACCATGTCGGCACACTGAAGGGCTGGATGTAGACTCTCAAAGACAAGGCCAGGACCTGGAGAGACTGACTAGACAAAAGGAGTGACCAGTGCACTAGGCAGGCCAGTGGGGCTAGGGTAGTGGGTCTGTGTGTAGCCTAAAATGATCTCAGGAACCAGGGAGCCAGCACTTTGGCTTACCTTTGGATTCACAATGATTTCCATGTCAATAGCATTCTGCTCCTGCAACCTTTTAACTGCTGCAAGAGAGATCCAGAGGTTGTTTGTGTTAAATATTTTGAATTTTGAGACAGACTTGAACTCATCAACATGTGCTTTTGGCACTTGAGCGATTTCCACCAGTCTCAGTTTTCCTTCATACTGAGTGAGTGTCCCACCCTAGAAAAGGCAGAGAAGACTGCGTGAGTGCTCCACATCTCTCCCAACCACATCCATACCACACTGTTTATACCTATGAATGTTACAGAAGAGAAACTGAGAATAAAATCCTCTAGAAATAAGAAGCATTGGCAGTGATTCGATCTGTGATACAAAGCAACATACGTATGAAGATAGAACCAAAGAAAATAATTTAGGATGTCTGTCATTTTATACTGTATGCCTGCTCTCTTGTCCATGATAAAGCTCTGGAAGACATCAGTCTGCCTCACTTTCTGAAGGCTGGCTACAGGAACAGTCATTCCTCTTATTCCCAAACCCCTGCCCATCACAAAATAATCAGTCCTACCACCTCAGACCCTGCTCTGACTGGCTCTTAAAAAATGGGAGAAAAGGGAAGAAAGAGGCAAAAGTGGACATGAAGGGACCCCTGTGTGGCCTTACAGCCATGAGGCCACAGCAGTGTGGGAAGAGGGGAGCACTCACGCGTGGGATGGACATTTATAAGAGGCATAGAACCCAGCTCAGGGACTGACCGTTTTAGTATTCACACACTGCCCACTTTTTTTTAACTCCCTGTGAGTAATTAGTAAAATCTTGTACACCATTTAGTCAAAGGCCAAGTTTCATTACCACTAAACATGCAAAGTTTAAAAATCAGATTATTAAGTGGTGATGGAAGGAGACTTGGAGTGGTGAACACACAATATTAAGATGGTATCTTGTGTACCTGAAACTATAACCAATAAATTCAATAAAAATTTTTAAGTCAAATTTTTGCTTTGTGCCAAACAAAACTGCATTTTTTTTTTGCAATTACAAAGATATTACAGTGATAAAACACTAAAATATAGAAATACATATTGTACTGGAAACAGTAAATTTTCATTAAAGGAACAATGAAATAGAAATACTTAAGCATCAAACTAGAAAAATAAAGGTTCGAGTAAACATACTGAAAGTGCTTTCACGTATTTAAGATTTCTGTTACAAATATATATGGAACGCTTTTCAGTTAAAATTGCCCACATAGATTATTCAAAAAATTAAAATGATTTTAATACTATTAAATCTGGATTTACATACACATTGTTATATCACATAGAACGTAGGGTACTCTACAGAATACTATGTCATTCTGTCTTACAACAATGTTATCAAGTGGATAAATGTGTTCTGCTTCACATGGAAACTTTCCAATAAAAAAGAAGTCTGAACTACATAACTTACGAAATGTGAAGATACTCCTCTCAGTATTTACCTTTACATCTGCACGTGTTTTATTTGTGACTTCCATGACAAATTCACAGCGTTTTCCATTGGGTGGGTTCATTAGATGATTAAGAATATAAAGATCCACCGTGGCACCCAGATTATCTATGTTAGACACAAAAATATACTCTTTGCCTTCTCCTATGAATATATCAAGTAAACCAGAGTTGTAGAAGCTGGCGTAAATATCTCCATGACCTGGGGGGTACCAAGCTTCTGTATTTTCCCCTGAGTAGGACACATCCTTCGCTACTGGCAGTAAAGATTCTTTATTAATCCTCGGGTACCTTTAAAAAAAAAAGTTCTTTTTCAATATCAACTCTAGAACATTGCAAACCTTCAAGAAAAACCTTCAAGAAAATGCATTTAATGTTAAATAAAACTTCCCTCCTTTTCAGTCTGTCATTAGCAAGTAACTTAATCAGATGTGAATCCATTTAAGGAAATTCTTGTTATCTATTATCCAAAAATCAGTTTCCTAGATAATTACATTTACTGCAAAAAAATTTTTTTCCATGGTCATACACATGGGAGGACACCTCTTAGTTTTAAGATAATACCTTTTATGACTATCCAAGAGAAGAGAGAGATTAAGTTTTCTCAAACTCACTGGTCATGGGATTGTTCTTTTCCCTGAAAACCTATTTGGGGAAAGCTGTCTGAACATATATTCAGGGGTGGTATTCTTTCTTTCATGGAAAACCAACAGCAGATCAGTGCCCAGGGAAGTCGGCTTCCTGCTCCTGACGTGTGTAGGGGCTGGCAATGGGGGAAGAGGAGCTGGCCCTGTAACAGACTAAAGAGCAACTAGAATATGGAGGCAGAGCACCTGTGACATAAGAAAGAGTGCTTGATAAAATAGGTTTTAAAAAAACACCAAAAAACTAAAGGTACATAGAAGCATCCCTTCCGTGCAGGATCACATAAACCCATGTCTATCCTAAAATGGAAGCCTCATTTCCCCAGTTGCCTGGGCTTTATCATACTTCCTTTTTACTTAATCTCCCTTCCACAAATAGAAGATTTTCTCCAGAATTTATTAAATTTCCCTCGAGCCTGTATTAGGATATTCAGGAAATTCCTTACAATAGGAAAGAAGGTTACCAATATTGTGGAATATAGAAAGATTCCACCTGGAGCCCAAACATGCCCTCAGAAAGCAAAGCTATCCTCGAGTATTCTGGGCATGTTAACAGAACATCAAGCAGATTCTCTTTTAAGAACTGAAGTTATAGAACCTCAGTGTGATTATAACAATCATATATCAAATGTTCAGCCTCTAAAGGCATCAAACACTTGTAACATTAGCTTTGGGCATATGCAGTACATCTTGAGGTTACTATGTTCAAGCAAGACAAATAAGTCCTTTCCCAGGAGTACCACCTCCCCCACCCCCCGGAGTTAATTTTTTTTATTCCTTGTACCTGCTTTGATTAAAAGTATAAATTTTCACGCGACAGTGACTATACTTCTGTAGTATCTTTTTTGTATCTTCATCTGTATTAAAAGAGTTCATCAGAACAAGAGGAACATCAGTATTGTAGGTTTTGTTCAAATGCTAGGGAGGAAAATGACAATGAGATTATCCAGACTGACTTTTCTTTTGCATAAAGGCATAAAATTAACTCCTAATTGTTAATCACAAAATGTCCAAAACATTGTATGTAGCCAAATATATAGTTCTGAAATAACTACGTAGCATAAGCCATTTTGCTAAGTAAGCAATTTACCATGTACTTGCTCTTAAATCACAACTCTTGGAGAGAGAAAAACTATTGTCTACAATTTGCAGATGCTGACTGAGGCCCAGAGAGGAGGCAGGTCAGCAGCAGGGCAGGGACACCTTCCTCCCAACCACAGTCTGACTCTGGAGCTGTGTGCCTGGCCACTGTGCCCTAGGGCTTCAGCAAGTGCTGACGTGCATTTAGTGTGTCTCCAGAGCACTGTGGGGATGAAAGTACAAACATTACAGAGTCACGGCTCCCTACTCTCAGAAATATGTCAAGAGTTGTGAATCACACCTCAACTGAAATCCTTTCAGTCTCTGGAAAGTGCCGAGGCAACAGAGAGTGGGTGGAAAACAGGGCCTTAGAAGTCAGACTGTCTCTATTCTCTGCACTTACTAACTAGGGAATCTGGGCAAGTAAATCAACCTCTCTGTGCCTTGGCTTCCTCATCTCTAAAATGGGGAGGATAATAGTACTTCTCTTAGAGTTTTTGAGAGGAACAAATGAGTCAATTCATGTAAAGAGCTCAGGATGATACATGGAAGATAGCACGTACTGGATAAATGTTAGCCACTGCTACTATGTTAGTGTTGTTATTGTGGTTGCCAGCACCGCATTAGAAACTAGGGATAAAAGATGAAAAAGACAGGCCATGGCTCCTGAAGAGCCTATGGTCTCTGATTAATTACTTCATTGTAAGAGAGAAGCCAGGAACAGTTCTTAGCATCCATGGCATCCAACCAGATATGTGAAATTCTCCCCAGCCATCTCAAAGGGGTTAGTAAAGCCACAGCATCCCAGCTGTGATGAAGGCTGCCACTAGAAAGAAGGGGGCTGAGAGGAAGGGAGATCAAAGAAGAATCCAAATAGACCCAGAGATTTCAGCCATCACAAATGCTATTTAAAGATCAAAAGCTTTTACTCACCCCAAGGATATGCCCTTAGGAAAACCAAACCTTTCTATATACTAAAACAGTCTAAACAAAGCAAGCTCTCTGACTAGCTCAAATCCCCATCTGTTAGTTTATAAGGTAACATTTATAATAACCTAGCAACTAAAAGCAATTTTAGGAGCTCATGAGAGAGGCTAAATGTTACTCACTTCAATTTGCTGAACGGTCAAGTCCAAAAACGTATTCTCATTCCGCACGCCAATCAGACTTTTTGGGCCTTTGCAACCCATGCTGGTTCCCAAACCACCATTGAGTTTTACCACCACCAACTTGTTCAGCACAGAAGATATATTATCAGGTAAGCCCCTGGCCTTTATCTTTTCATAGGGTTGAATCTAAAAAAAAAAAAAAAAGAATTATACACAATGGAATACTACTCGGCTGTAAAAAACAAGAAAATTTTACCCTTTACAACAGTATGGATGGACTTGGAGAATATTATGCAAAGTGAAATAAACCAGTTAGAAAAAGACAAATACCATATAATTTCACTCATGTGGAATCTAATGAACAAACTGAACTAACAAGCAAAACAGAGACAGATTCATAGATGGAGAACAGATGACAGTGGGGGTGGGGAACTTAGGGGGTGGAGGGATTGAGCAAAAAGGAAGGACTCATGGACATGGACAACAGTGTGGTGATTGCTGGGGGAAGGGGGTATAAGGGGACTAAATGGTAATGGAAAAAATACAATAAAAAATAAAAATAAAAGAATTATAGAAGTAATTAAAGCAGCTTTATGGAAGGTTAAACCAAACCAATCCCAGGGTTATTTCCAGGCTTAAAAGAGCCTTAAAAGAGCTTAAAGAGCCTTGCTTTCTTGTGAAAAGCTTCAGTTGCACTTACTATAATGTCACAGGCACTTCTGGTTCAAAATCAAGTACGTATTGTCAACTTCCCTTGCACACAGAAGTAGTTCAGTGGTTCATTCACAATGGAGTACAAGAACGGGAAAAGTTACAGGCTACAAATATTTGGCTGGCTGGTAAGAACATGCAGTCCTCTAAGACTACCTCCAAAACCTCAGAATTCCCAATTTGCATCAATACAACAAATGGGATACACAAAACTCATCAAGTCTATAAATAGTTCTGGTGTACTGTGGATCTACTTGAATTCCAGAGAAGTATCTATATATGATCACACACTGTTCCTTTTCCAAAGGAGGGAAACACTAAAACCAAAGTATTCCTTGCCATTCTCCTCCACTCAGTCCTAAACTTGTCCTTCAGAGAATGATGGCATAGGCTTTTTGTCGTATTTCTCGATATGTACAAGGATAGAATTCCTTAAGAATTTAAAGTTGGGGCATCACTGTATAAAAGATTATATTGGAAAAGCTAAGTTTTCTCATTGTTCCAACCAATGTTGTGGTAGGGAGAAAGGGCGAGATCTGGGGCTTGAAAGAATCCCAACCCGATCTCCCTACACCCTCATCATTTCTGTCAGTACAGAGACTTAATCTTCAACTCTTCCCTTATCCAAAAAGAACAATGGCACAGTGGAACCCCAAATTCTTTTGTTCCAAGCAGAGGCACAAGCAAGTGTAAACATTTCATATCAAGAATGAAAGTTTTTAAAAAGATCACAATGTATTTTCTATCCACTTATGGGGCATTTTTTCCTGTTACCTTTCTTTAATGGAATAGGGCATCAAACGTACTCCTCAGTTACATCACAGCACAGGGCAGATAACACTTGAGGGGGCTGGGGAAAAAACCCCACTAAATAAGTGCTCAATGAACACTGTGCTGGCTTTATTTGTTCTGGTACTTGGGCGGGGGGGAGGGGTGTGTGTGTGTGTGTGTGTGTGTGTGTGTGTGAGAGAGAGAGAGAGAGAGAGAGAGAGAGATGGATGGATGAAGTCTGTGATGGGGAAGGGAGTTGATGGGCTCACTCTCCAGTGATTAAGCTGTGGAGGTAAAAATCCCTTTATATGTGGTCAAACATACATGTCACATTAGTTAACACAATTCCTGCTATTAACAGTTCTTTTCACAAAAACCAGTCTGTGACTTTTATTTCCTCTCCCCTGCGAGACACTGTATTAACTGCCAAGTGCAGATGAATATACTTCGTTGGTTGGTGTAAATAATGAGGAACATGAAGCCCTCTTCTCCAAGACTCTCCACTGGTTGTCACCACTGTTATCACTCATTCTGAATTATTTTTTAATGTGGTAAGATTTCTAATCTTCTTGGTAAGTGCCAGGGCTGGTGAAAGAAAAAGACCAGAAGGGACAGGCCCATGGACGCCATGGACTTCCAGTGGGTGATACTTAAATACCCAGGGTGCTAACCACCAAAGAAAAGCAGGAAGGAACACAGACCACGATGGGTGTTTCCCTGGCAACACTTGGTCCAGGCGAGGACAACAGATGGGTGATAACAACCTGGATGCTTAACATACACAAAGTGTCCATGTTCCAGTTCACTGACTTTCCCTGAAGGATGTTTTATTTTTATTTTCTCTCCGCTGCCATGAATGAACATCATTTGTTCAGCATTTCAAAGAAATGGGTATGGGAGAAAAAGTCCAATTTAATTGTCACACTACTAATAGAAGTAAGAGTACATGACAGAGATGGACCTTTTGCTCCCCTGATATAATATGGTAGCTTGTAATCCTTTCTAGCCAAGCTGTTGAAATCAACCAGCCAGTAAAAGCAATGCCACTGTGATACAGCCTTATTCACAATGGCCAATAAATGGAAGCAACTTAAATGTCCATCAACAGATGAGTGGATAAAACAAAATATGGTATATACAAAAAAAATTGCAATATTATTCAGCCTTAAAAAGGAAAGAAATTCTGACACATGTCACAACATGGTTGAACCTTGAGAACATTATGTTAAGTGAAATAAGCTGGTCAAAAGAGATAGATACTTTTATGATTCTATTTCTTTAAGGCACCTAATCAGATTCATATAGAATGAAAGTAGGTACTGATTTCCAGGGGCTGGGAGTACATAGAAATGGCAAGCTTTTGTTTAATGGATATACAGTTTTAATTTTGCAAGATCAAAGAGTTCTGGAGATTGGCTTTGCAACAATGTAAATATACGTAAAACTATGGAAGTGTACGCTTAAGAAAGTTTAAAGGTAATTAAAAAGATTGTTCCTGTATAAAATGAATTAGAAAATAAAACATTAAAAATCTTCTATAATACCATCAAAAATATCAAATATTTAGGAATAATCTAGCAAAAGATATGTAAGAGTTCTACATGGAACACTGCACAGCATTTTTGAGAAAAATTGAAAAGACAAAAAGAGAAATGCATTTATCATGTTTATAAATTAGAGGACTTACTAATGTAAAGATGTCAATTCTACTCAAACTGATCAATGCAATTCTAGTCAAAATCTCAAGATTTTTTTGTGTGTGGAAACTGGCAAGCCAATTTAAAGTGTGTATAACAATGCAGAAGGCCAAGAATAGCTGAGACACTCTCAAAGTTGGGAGAAACAGTTTTGTAACTTTTTTAAAAAAATTGTAGTAATTTATGCATAGCATAAAAGTTGCCATTTTTAACCACTTTACGTGTATTTGCATTATTTTACAATGACAAGAACTTTCTTTCATCTTGCAATACTGGAAGTATATTGATTAAAAAATAAATCCCCATTCCCTCCCTCCTCCACCACCTCCTGGCAATCAGATTTCTACTTTCTCCCTCTGTGAGTCTGACTATTCTGCGTAACTCATACAAGAAGAATCACACAATATTTGTCTTTCTGTGACTTATTTCATTTAGCATTATGTCCTCAAGATTCATTTAGCCTTTTTTTTAAAGTGGCTTATATGCTTGAGGAAGTCCCAAAATAATGCAGGTTTTTCCAGAAAAATGTCCATGTTTAATAATGTTTACTTGTATCTATGCAACATATCAGAGAGAAGGAGGGATTGGTACAAAGGACTGGAATACAGGTATATGTGTAAGTTGACATTCTTTGGCAAATTGATCCTTATAAAACTTATTTATTCCATTTGCAGATATTAAATAGAATACAAGTTCTGAAGTCTTAGTTTAGTAATCATAAAAACTGAATCCCTTTATTTAAATTTAATACACATAACACCCTTAATTTAAATTAAAGGAATTAAAAAATTAAAAGGGGGAAAAGAATACTGCAAGCATAACCACAGTTCTATAAGTTAAATCTAAGAAAATGCTGCTCTTCAGATACATGTGGAAACAAAGCAGAATGGCAGGACTTGGGTTGCAAATACTGTTCAACACCTGTGTTCTGAATTTACTAGTATCTCTGAGGGATGTACAACGTCTTATTTCAAGGCAAAAACTTTACAAAAACGTAAACAATGTAAAAAGAGATTTCATTTTATTTAACTATGGAGTCAAAAGATCAAAGGAACGGGACATTTTTCACTGTCACTCTCTAGACAAAGTGCTGCAATTATGGAAATGTCTTATAATTTCTGTTGGCTATAGGTGGCTATTAAGCACTTGCAATATGGCTAATGCAACTGAGGAACACAAGTTTTAATTTTACTTAAAATTAATGTAAATCAATGTATGTGGCTAGTGGCATATGTGGTTCTAAATAGTCGATTTAAAAAAATCAACCATGGGATCAGAATTCATTTTACTTCATTTTAATAAAACTCTGCCAGAATCTTTTTTTAATATAATCTTTTTTCATTTAATAACATGGACATCACAAAACATTGAAACACATAAAGGGACTAGCTAAAACCTTGTTCTTCCTTATCTTCACACATCAACATCCCAATTACATAACAATACATAGTAGTATACTGTAATACAATGCATAGTAATGAATAGCTTTTACTAAGGATACACTGATGGTCAACTCCCACTTCAGAATTTCACCAAATAATTTGTATTCACCTTAGCCTAAGACTGAGGAAGACCAAATGCCAGCTACTATACTCAACACCCTTTCAAGAGTCTCTGAACCAATGATGAGGTAGGTACCTTACATATTTTATCATTAAAACAACATCAGCTATTCAGACCAGGCATATTGTTGGGAATAATATTTGACTATTCTACTTCAAACAGAAAATTTCCAAATAACATTTATATTCTATCAGTTAAAGTCATGTAAATGCCTTTTATTACATGAGTAAAATGCTATGTTAATTATTTTAAAAACTTAGTTTTGTACACAATGCTTACAAATATTTCAGTTAAATTTAAACTGGGAAACCTACTGGCAGTAAGCATAAAAACTGAATATATTAAGACATCTTTAGGAATAATATAATTCCCTCTTTGACCCCACAAATGTTTATATAATTTCAAATAATAGTATCAAGCAGAGCAATGTAAATTGGATATCTT